ATGTTAGCCACGTGGAAAGTTGGAATCCAGGACACTGAGATTTGAAATAAAATTACCAGCACACCTAACTATCACATTGAATCTTGATTATTTATTTTCACTATTTATAAATATTAGTAGAGATTTCAGTCCATAGGCAGCTGGTTCCAAGGCAGTGTGGCATGGCAGAGGAGAAACAGAAAAAGCTGTTCTTGTACCTATAGATATAAATATGTTTAGAAATTTATATATTTATAAATATTGGATGGATGGGTCAAAATGTCAAAAAATGAATATTTCAGATATCTTGGGAATCTAAAGATGCCACGACTGATGGATAAACACTAATATGTGTACCATAATGAAAGTCTTGATTTTAAAAATGCATGATAAAAATTGGCATTTGCTAGGACCCTACAGGGATTAATAACATGTAAAATGTTGTCTTTTAATGTGCATTAGCATAGTTTTAGACACACTGCACGTCTAAAAGCTGGAGTCTTATTCAGTGCTTCTACTTTTACGTTACTTCTTTTAATCATTACCCATCAGAACTAACACATACAGCACTGCAGATCCAGAGACCACCACAAACAAAAGTACCCTACTTCGGGAGTACGCTCCTTGTTGTGTTTTATAATGAACCTCAGTGAGGCTTTGGGGAGGTGACTGGATCCTGGACGTGTGATATTCACCACTGGTGGGTTTATTGCTGTGTGTGACTTGGGAGCTGAAGCCTGCTGGGTAAGGGTGACCGCTGTGGGTGTGGTCTGGAAGGTGGTATGTTCTCATCTCTCCTCCTCCCTTAATCCCTCGCTGCTTTTTCCCTGCCGTGCTATGAACTGTTTCTTATCTGCCATGCTCCCTGCCTTGGAGCCAGATGACTGAATCCTCTCCAGACTGTGAGCCAAAGCAAACCTCTCCTCCTTTATCTTGTGGGAATCAGGTGTTTTGCTCAACAGTACAAAAGTAGCTGAGACTTTGCTCACAGAATGCAGCACATTGTCCAATTGATTCCGTGGCAATTAACAAACTGCATACCTTTGACTGCTTTTGAGTAGGTTACCTCACAATTCTTTTGTATAAGCTGTGGAAGACTGATAACACCACAGTAAAAACTGGTCAGAGAAATGCAAATGCTATTTGTCTACGATGGCACAAATAAATTCTCTCAGAGAACAAAAAATCTTTATAAATAAAATTTTCAATTGAACTGGCTTAACTATCGTAATGGTTTTCTCTTTATCTAAGTGGCTAAATATAGTCTTCAATATGCAATCTTCCACTTGGTGGTCTCACAAGGTCTTGGGCTCGCGGACGGATGCACTTGGTCCACCCTCCTATCAAAGGTCTGCGCTCATCAGCACCTGCTTCCTCGTGCTCCTGGAATACCCTCCCTCAGGGATCTCCCGACACACCCAAGGCTAAAGCTACCTTCTATAAGCGTGACTTACTCATGTGTGTGGCACACAATCACTTTCTTCACCTCCCCACGTGATGCTGGCTCCTCCCTGGGCAGCACAGGTTGGATCTCCCCAGCACACTGCAGGAACTTCCCACACAGCCTAGCACTGGACCCTCCTCAGTGGAGTCTGCATTCTGTGCACCACCCTCCCTGGATCCCCGGAGTCTGTCCAGGGTGGTTCATCGCAGTGCTTCGATCATCTGACACCCTAGTGATCTCTATGCTTCCGTCCTTTTCTTCACCTCAACCAAACCCTCTCCTGAGAACCTCAGGCTCTTCTCTCTTGAATACTAGGATCAATAGACTCCTTGGCAAATTAGCTTTAAGTAATTTTTGCTTATTTTCCTGGACCCCCAGTGGCTCCAGGCCTTTGGCCCAGTCCCGGTTGCTGAGCACAGCTGGGCCATGCTGGGTCCTCCTGTTGAACGTCTCCCTGATCATAAGCACCAAACACTGCTGCCAAGTGGAAATTCACTGGGTTCTCATCCTGCTCACTCTTGTACTTGTGTAAGTGCCCATGCACCACCATTCCCGGGTGGCTTTACGTGAATTTTAAGACAACCACAATATCATGCACTCCAGAATATCTCACGACTCCTTCCTTGCAGACTCACCAGGCTGTTCCCAGTGACCTTTCTCACATGTCCCTCTACTTTCGGGTTGTCTTTTCCTGTTTTCCTTGGATTTGGAGGGAGGGGCTGGTCCATTCATTCCATACCTTTATCCTCAGAGGATCCAATAGTAGGCATGCTGAAAATATTCACCAACTATTGAGTCACTGAAGAAGGAAAGAATTAGAATTGTCTTATGTCACAGCAATCCCACAGGAAACAATCTGCATGGAAGAGGCAGCTCACTCCCATGGTGCCACAGCCAAGACATGGAAGAGCCCGAAGCATCTATCAGTGGATGCATGGATGCAGCAGAGTGACTCTCCATGGGATTCAGCCTCTCAGCAGGAGGAAACCCTGTCCCTTCAGCCAACAGGAATACCCAGAGGACACTCTGCTAAGGGAAAGAGCTGGGCACTGACAGGTAAAAGCTGCATGGCTCATTTATGTGTGGAATCTTCAGAGCCAGACTCCTGGAAGCACAGAATGGAATGGTGCTCAGCAGAGCTGGGGGTGTGGGGGCTGGAGTTGGGCCAAAGAGAGGAATTTTCAGTTAGGACAGCAGGAGAAGTTCAAGAGCTCTAGCGCACACCGTGGTGGTCCGTTAACCCTAGCTCTACTGTAGTCTCAGCAGGCTGCAGTTTATCTGGAGCCAAAACATTCCTTTGGGGGAACTTGGACAGAGAGACAGAATGTTCAGAATTCTGTGCACAGCTTTTGCATAGAAAGAAGTATTTTTGACCATTTGGTAATAGAAACCCCCAACCCATATTTCTCTAAGAATAAGCTGAAAGTCATCAGCTTCCTGGACAATTTCTAGTACGCTTAATTTTAACTTAATTAAAATCCATGCACATTCAAACAAATATAGTATTCGCCTCCACTTCCTATCCAAACCTCATGTCTAGCATCATCATGTTATAAAATACCAGCTGCTCTATGTTAATTTTATCCAGAGATATAAATCTGTTTAGGAAAAGTTGGTATACATAATCTGAAAAATCAAAGCAGAAAAGTGTACCATTATCCACATTAGCAAAAATTACCTTAAAACGCAAACGTTCAAACAACACCATCGCTTAGGAAGTTTTCCACGCTAAGAATAGATCACAGGTGCTCACAAGTTAGCCGTGAAGTATTTAACAGGTGAAATACCTGTGCAGAAGGAAATCAATAGCGCCGAGATGGAGCAATGCTAACTGGCCTTGCTCCCTGTTCTCAACAGCAAACTAAGCCAACAAATGCAAAGTGTGCTTCTCAGGACGCCGGAGACCAGACAAGAGGTCCCTGAGAGACAACAAGAGATAAACCCTAAGCTTGCTTCATGAGGAGTTTGCCCAGGTCTCAGCACCCTCAGGGGAAGGCAGGGAGAGCTGAAGACCTCACTGGAGCTGCAGAAGCTGGAACTATGAGGTGGGAGGTGTCGAGGCAGCTAGAGCTTTCAGGGCAGAGAATCAGAGAGGGTCACAGAGATCACAAAGACTCTCAGCACTACACCTCAGCCTTGAGCTCAATATGCAGAGTGGTACATAAATAAAGGAACTACTAATTCCCAGAAAAGAGCCATCTGCATGAGCTAGAGGGCGCCACCTCCGGGCCCAACACCGGAAGGAATAGAGCTGCTATTTACCAGAGAGCAAACTCCCTACCGCGTGCCTGCTGTGTAGAAAGCCCAATCCTCTTGCCTTTGTAGTATGAGGTAATCCTAGCCGAGGGCTGGGATGTGACTCTGTGGTTAAACCGGTCTAGCATGCACAAAGCCTGGGTTCAATCCCCAGCTCAACAAAACAAAACAAAACAAACCTAGTTTAAAACTATTCTGGGTCCATCTAACAGCTAATCTTATAACATTTAGAGAAATATGAGAACACATCCAACTTGAAAAAGTCTTCCATAATGTCTGATAGGCAATCAGCAATTGACATGGGCAAAGAAGCAGAAAAACACCATCTATAATGGAAAGAAAAGGTGATCAGTTAATGTTGACCAAGAAGTGACACAAACAATAAATTTAGTAGATTAGTAGATAATTGGAAAGAAATCAAGACATGAAGAAATTCTAAAAGATCCCAGTTTAACTTGCAGAAATGACAACTATAAACTAATAATAACAATAACAATAATAGACCTGGATGGATCTGACATTAGATTGTGCAGAAGAAATGCCTTGTTTATCCAATGACCACAGTAGGAACTATCCAAGATGAGCAAAGAGGGACAAACAAAACCCTAGAAATCAATGAACAGAGAATTGATAACTTGTGGGGCAAATTCAAGTCTCTATGACATGTGACACTGTAATTTCTAAAGAAGAAAAAATTCAAGGGAGGAAAGAAAAAGTATCCAATAAAAATTGTGGAAACCTGTGAATGCAAAGATATAAGAAGCTAGATAATGCCAAGCAAAAGGAACATAAAGGGGGCTGCCTCAAAGCACAAATCATTCAAAAGCTGTAAAAAAGGAGAAACATCTTAAATATACAGAATTAATAGGTACACTGTGTACAGAAGGACAAAGTTGAGGGCGACGGCCAATTTCTTCTGAAAAAAGTGCAAGGCAGAGAAGTAACACCTTAAAAACACAAGAACAAGGTGATTTTGACCTTAAATATTTCATAAAAGCATCTTTCAGGACAACAGCAAGAGTGACCCCAATGCAAACAGGGGCCCCGAGGTTGTGATGAACCCACAGGCTGTGGACCATCAGCTCCGCCCTTGATAGGGGCTGTGTGGGGCAGGAGGTCTACGCGAGATCTCTCCAACTATAGCTGAATTTGGCTAGGAACCTGTAATTGCTCTAAAATACAGCCTATAAAAACAAGTAAAGCAAGCTAAAGCTAAACAACTGAACAGGAAATATGTAGATTCATGCACCTGTGGCTTAGAGGTGAGCTGATTAAATTATCTGAAAAACAAAATGTGACGATTGGTTTTGCTTCTAGGTCTCCTCTTCCTGCCCTGCAGCCTGAAGTCTGGGGCTCCACGTCCTCCTTTCCATTGGGCCCCTCCCTGATGGTCTCTGCAAGTGCTGCAGGCTGAGCAGAAGAGGGAACACCTTTGGGACTCCACTCTCAGGGCCAGCACTGCACTGCTGGAGAGGAAGATTCCACCCCAGAAGCTCGAGGTGTCCGTGAGCCCTGTGCCATGGGGCCACTGAAGGGCGTGCAGGGTGCAGCAACCAGCTTTCTGCACACTGAGGCCTGAGTACAGACTTCTCCAGGAGAGCTTTTGTTTGCACCAATGCCCCCTGTTGAGATTACAGTCACCAGTGATTTGGGACATGGGACACTGGGGAGAAATGGTGAACTCACCAATAGCTCTGAGCTGTTTAACCAAATAGAGAGAAATTTACACCACATAATTGCACTGGAACAAGTCAAAGACTTCTCCAAACTTCCCCTAAAACACTGGGAAAAGGGGAACTAAATGAATTAGAAGCAAGAAAGGAAATAACACAGTAAGATGAACTCGGTGGTTTTGATGTAAATACTTGTTTAAACAAAGAATAAAAGACACAGTAACATTAAAAACTGTTTCCCTAAATAAATAACTTTCTAGCCGTCCTGGCAAAGAGGAGACAGCAGACACAATCATCAGTACCGGGAGGCAAAGACAGGATATCATTACCCACCTACAGACATTTACAGGGTGATAAGAGACCGCTCCAGAAGTTCAGAGGAATAGAGGAAATAGGCCTGGCCCTCCAGACAAACTACCAAAATACATGCAGGAGGGAACAGACAACCTAAAAGTCCCTAGTGCTCCTGAATCAATCGAATTCATATCTTAATTCCTTCCCAACAGGAAATCTCCACACCAGATTGCTTTCACTTGCAAATCCTACCAGACATTTAAGAAGGGTTAATGCTAATTCTACACAATCATTTCCACAATATAGAAGACAGGATGCAGGCTGGGGGGGGGGTAGTTGCTAACTAAGTGACTAATGCATAGGAGCCTTGAAAATATCTAGGGAACTCTGAGCAATCCAATGCAGTATTAGGTGAGACATTTAAAGGAAAAGTTCACCGTAGAAAATATGGAGGGACGAGCGGGGTGAGCTGTGGTCAGATGGGCAGCATTGTGATTGATTAGGAAAGTACAAAGCAAACCATGAGACGGAGGGCACTGAAATCATAAGGTTAAGTCATCAGGGCTTTATTTACTCTAATGTATAAACGATTGTTTTCTTTCTTAGCCTCCTGGAGACCGAGACAACTTCTTCAAAGCAAATAGCTTTTGAGTTTGACGAATGTCACACTGGGCAGTCTTGTTTCGATGAGGACTCCGATTCTACCGCCATGCTAACTGGAGTGGACTGTCACGCTGCCCTGTCTGCTCACATCCTTGCCAGAGTTTTCCTGTTTTCCCTCACTATCCATTTTGATGGCTTTCAGGCCAGTCTCATAACATTCATCCTTCTGTATTACTGTTGTGCCTGTATTATGGGTTCCCTCGTAACTTAAAGTTTCCAATTTTTGAAAGATGTGGATCAAGTAGTTGAGGCATAGTTTAGATAAAAATGTCCTCCCAAAGACTCATGCGCTGGGAGTGGGACTTTAAGGAGGTGTCTGGTCATGTTGCACTACGCTCAGTAGTGGGTAAGTCGACGAGTTCATGGTTGAATGAGCTATTAGGAGAGGCTACTGGGGTGTCACTTGGAAAATTATATTCTTTTCCCTGACTCTTCCTTTCTCTCCCTACTTTCTGGCTGCCTTGGGGTGAGAAGCGTTCCTCCACCACTTCCTTTCACCATGCTGTTTGTTTCTTGAAGCCAGAAACCATGGATGGAACCCTCTGAAAACTGTGTGTTAAAATTTAAAAAAGAATCCTCCTACATTGCTGCTAGGATTGTGACCTATACAACCACTACAGAAATCAGTATGACAGTTCCCCCAAACACTAAAAATAGGAATTTCATCTTTCCCAGCTATTCTCCTTCTGTGAATCTGCCTAAAAGAGTTAAAAGCAAACATTACAGTGATCCAAACATCACCATCTTTACAGCAGCTCAGCTTGTAGTAGCTAAGTGTTGGAAGTAGCCTGCATGTCCATTAGCAGATGAATGGATAAAAGAATGTGTGGTTTTTACACACAGTGGTCTGCTACTATAAAAGATAACTCTGAGTATCCTGTAGGAAAAAGAGATACACATTAAGACCATAATGCTAAGTGAAATAAATTAGACACAGACAGTGAAATGCTACATAATTTCTCTTATATGAAGAATGCAATGTATAAACAATTTTAAAGGCAAAAGAAAAGACAGATTATAGGGACACAGATATTTAGACCTTTTGCCAATGGAAAGGGGATCTCAGGATGGAAATGGAGAGAAAGTGGATGGAGAAAGGAACGAACATGTATCATACACCAACTCCCCGCAAGGAATGCAATCGTTACACACTGCAAACGTGCTGATAAGAACAGAGTAAGAATGGGTAAGTAGAAGAATAAATTCCTCCTTATTTGCTGATGTCAAGTAGCTGGTCCTAGCAATGGAAACAAGGATTAGTACAAGGTCCTATGCAGAAATAAGTATTTAGCCGTAAATGGAGAGATTATTTGTAAGATTATTAAACTTAAAAATATGTTGTTATTGCCATTTTTATTTTTCTGCAGATGATGCAGTGTTGTTTCCTCTATGGACATTGAGTGAGGAAAACAAACCTTAACACTGCGGGCAGTGGCTGTGCTTCCACGATGTCACAGAAGCATTTACTAAAGAAGCTGAAAGAGGTCAGGGCTACATGGTGCAGACTGTGCTGGCTTTGTGAGTTTCCTATTAAAACCAGCTTCCTTTCATTCAGGCCACTGGTTCAGGGTCTATGTGAGCCTATGATTTACACTTAAAAGGATTTCTGCTCCATGAATCGATCCCCCCCCCAGGGTTACAGAGAATGCTTTCCGTTAGTTAAACATTTCAGAAAACTAACAGAGAATCGTAAGATGCAGCTTATTTCAATATAAAATAGAAGTACTAATACTGAGCCCTGCACTGTTGTGCTGTGAGTTTCCGGAAAGTGAGAAATCTCCTCGAAGCCTTGGAGCATTCTGGAGTGAGAACACAGCTGTGTTAATCTGCACAGAGGTGACACCCAGGGGCACCGGGTTACTCTCATCTAATCTGTGGCTCTAAGAGGAAAGATTTAGAAATAATTGTACCAAGCAGTACAAGATATTTGTATGTATTGTGTCTCAAACACAAAAAGTTAGAGCTCAGCTGTGTAACTATATGGGAACTAAAATCTAAAGTCATTTGAGTCTTAGTTCGTTCCAAAAATACCCACTGGCTACCATTACAAGTCCCACATGGGGTGCACCATCCTTTCCCGAGCGATGAACAGCTGCAGACAGCAGCACGAACAGTCCTGGCAGAGAAATGTGCAGAGACATACAAGACTGTGTAGGGCAAAGAGCACTAGGATGACACTATGTCCTGCCAGGGACAGTCCAGGGTCCTTGTGAAATGTGCTGCTGCCGAGCACCATCTAACAGAAAGCCAGCTCCTAAAAACACGACACTGCGTCCTCATCTGTCTTAGTCACCGGATCTGGCACCACGAGGCTTCTGGCTCTGCCCCAAAGTCAGAGTGACCTTGGAAAGTAAACATCTTGAATTGATCCAGGACACGGAGCCAGTGGGGACAATACAACTCAAGACATTCAGAATGGCTTCAGAACGGGGGAAAAGAGATGGGAAGTTTGAAGGAAGGGGGAGTTTTGGGGGATTATAGAAATATGCCTTTCACTAGAATAAATTTAAAAACTTTAAGCATTCAGTCTCTTTTTGGATCATATCTCATACGTATGTATTCCTATCATAATTATTAATAGCACTCAGTTCCACTGTAAAATACTGCCTTTTGGTCAGCATACTATGTACTCAGCCTGGTGTGTAGCAACATTAGGTATCAGTGTAAATGTAAAGTATTTGGGGATAATGCGGTCTGCAGTATGCTACTCTAGAGTCTAAGGACAGATTTCTAAATTCAGTGGGTTAGGGGTTAATGTCCTAATAATTTACAATGTAATTTACAATTTACATTTATTGCTCTCTGGGTTTTCCAGGTGAAGACACCAAGAGGCTTGGTACTGAGGTCACACAGCTTGGGAGACCCTGAATTAGCCCCACCCCCTGAGGTGCTAGTTATGGACAACATGGCGATGTTTCCCTCAAATGCTCATGTGGGACCCCAATTCCTAAGATTGTTTGGATATGCAGCCTCTGAGACACAAAAGGTTAAGAGAAGCCATTGGGTGGGGCCCCCAGCCCATAGGATTAGTGTCTTTGTAGAAGAGACTTCAGAGAGCTGGGCCCCACAGCCTCTCTAGGCCAGGAAAGGCAGTGGGCTGGGAAGACACGGGGAGGCAGCCGCACACTGCCTGAGGTGAGAGTCCACACCAGACCTGCTGGCAACTTGATCCCCAATTTCCAGCCTCCAGAACCCTAAGAGTAGAGTCAGTGCTGCGGACACCCTTGGCCTGTGGGGCTCTGGTTTACAGCCTGAGCAGGTGAATTCCATAAAGCAACGAGCCAGTGCTCAGACCATGGTGCTACACTCAGACATCCGGAGCACTGTTAGCTAAGGCAGAACAGTGTAGGAACACAGATAGGAATACTGGAAACAACATTTCAACCCATGCAGATGGAATTCTGCACTTTTAACTCAAAAAGGCAAGATCATCAAATTCAGGACTTCAATTTCTTTGAAACGGAGCATCTCTGGATTTTAATTTACAAGGGGTATTAATATCCGAACTTTCATTTCTTGCTGGGTACTTAATAAAGGAAGAAGATTTATAGTCAAATATGGGGACTGTCTGGCTACTGGATTTTATTATTAGAATTACTCCTTTGTTTTAACATTTTCATCATTTATTCTGGCTGCAAAGTCCCCGATGAGCTGTACTGGACAGGATTTAGGACAGGAGACTGGATGTATATACAGCCTTCACATGGCACAATGTGAGACAGATAAAGGAAGCACTGGTAGCCTGCTTGGGACTTGTGGCTGGAAAACACACAGGATTCATCAGTGGTCCCAGGAGTGGCCAGGGAAGCCTTGCTAGCTCTGTGAGGGTGGGACAGGGACAGTGCTGACAGTCTGAGGAGCCCTCAGAGCCCAGCACTACCCGGGTGACCAGGGGTGCCCTCGATGGGCCCAGAGGTTCCAGAAAATAAAGTGCTGCTCAGGGTTGCAGGAGAACCCTTCCTCCTCATTCTGCGTGTTCCCTATGGGGGCCAGAGAGCGTGAGACACACACCCTTCCGGCCCCGAGGGCAGGTAACAGGGGCAACTCATCCAACCCAAGATTCCAGGGCGAGGAACAACCAATTCAGCTGTTTGTGGACAGTGTGCTTCCCAAGATACACTTGTTTGCTTCTACTTCTCCAACTTAAGACTCGGCCCTTGGGATTGTATTAAAAGTATTATGTGTAGTAAAGGCTCTCCTGCCTATTTCCTGGCAAGGCAATAATCACACATTCTGTTTGATCCTATGGAGTGCTTGCTCGTGGTTGTATATTTATTTTAAATCACTTGAGCTGGTTGGTTTGGGGTGCTTGTCTCCAAGGTTATTAAGTAAGTTATTAAGTAAGTTATTTTCTTTTCACATACTTTGCATGCGAAGGCCTAGTTCTCCGTTTCTAAGTACCACTTCTCTTTCTCTCCTTTGAGCTAATTTTCCCGAGTTCAGGACCCAGCCTACTGTCTGGGGAGGTGGCAGGTGAGGGACATAGAGTGGGCTGCAGCCCACGACCTCAGCAAATCCACAGGCATCTTGAGGCCAACAGAGCAAAGACAACGCAGAGGGCAGGGGCCACCAGGAAATTGCAGAAGCCGCCAAGTTACTTTTCCGCTTTGCTGTCACAGTGCTGTTCCAGGACTCTGTTGCCTGTGGGTCCTGGTGACAACCAAACACAGGGAAATGCCACATCTGTTGGAGAAGGGATTGCTACAGAATAGCAGTCAGCGTGCGGGCAGTCAGTGTGCCCTCAGGGTGGGCAGCGGGCTTCCAACAGCCAGAGCTCAGCCCAGGGCCAGTACTCAGTCAGCACCGATGGTGCCACCTAGGGCACAATAAAAGGCGTGACTCCTGTTAGTTACCTATGACAGCTACATCAGGACAGTGGTTACTTTAAAACATTGTCACGCAGAATAAGATCACAGATGCAGAATTCAGGGCTGACTCACCCAAGGTTCCTGGTGGTATCCAGAGAGAATGCTCTGAGGCTGCAGCAGCTGATGCCTCTAAGGCCTCCTGACTTCAGGACCCAGTAAATAGCAGTCAATGAATATGGCACAGCACAGAAGGAGTAGGCAAAGGGTGAGTGAGTGAGGTCATGAGAGGCCAATGGGAGAATAAAAAGGAGGATCTGAGGCACGCATTATAAAAGCAGGCAACAAAGGAGCCCATTGCTATCCGTTCCTTGTTCTAAAGGGTTTACTCCCTGGATCTATCAGGGAGGAGCAGACCCTGGCCGTAGCAACGCCCACCTGTCTGCCCCTAGCTCCTCCGCTCCTCCGCTGGGTGTGCTATTTGCCATCAGCACCCAGGCTGACCTCTGTGCAAACCACACACTCTCCAAAGCTTCGACACTTCCTGTTTGGTCCTGCGTAGAAAAAATTGTGCAGCTCCTTGGAATGGATGACATGAGAACTTATGACCCATAATCCACTAGCAGCAAAACACATCCCAAATAAAAACACAATCACGTTGAAGTTGAAATGACTTCTAGACCCTGGGCTATAAGCTTCACTCTCTCATTTTGTATTTCCTTGAAAAGTTATAGATTTTCTCCTTCCCAGTGTCATTAAACCTTAAACCACCAATCAGCCTTGCAGAACACTTAGCAGAAAGACAGGTTAGACCTGGCCAAACCCTGGAGAAAATGGATCCTTTGCCGAGTAAAGCTCTAGGAAGATTTGGCATTTCCCGAAGCTGTAAATTCTCATTTCTTCTAAAGATATATTGGCAGTAGCTGGCATCCTCAACAGGTAGCAGTGGAAGTTTTGGAAGATTTCAGCACAGACTGTCTGTGGTGAACCACTGCCTCCAGCTTTAATCCAATAAACTGAAATGTGATTTCTGACCATCCTGTTTCCATACCCAATTTAATACCCTGGCTTCATTCTTTTTGTGCTGTGGCCTTTGAGCAACAGCTGTGTCTTTAGCAAGCTACTAGTTTTGGAAATTTCTAAGCAAGATTTCACCTAGAGGCCAGCACATCAGAGCTCAGGGATCCTCTTGGGTCACGTATGATTCAAAATGCCCCATGTGCCTTCTGGACAAGTCCTTCAGCCCCTTCCAAATATGAACACATCACTAAACTGTAGACATCTCTGTTCAGTGAGGTCCTCCTGGTCTGCACAATAACCCCACAGGAGGAGCTTGCAGCCCGGGGTCTACAAGCCAGGCTCCAGAAGGGGTCCCTCTTATCCTGGAAGAAGATGGGGTGGGGGAGGAGAAAGGAAGAGAGGAACGGGCAGGAGAGGGCTGGAGAGCGAGGGCTTTGGACACACGACTGAAATCTGGTACAGTCCTGGCTTTGTCCCTTGGCGTGATGTATGAATCACAGAGCTGCAAGCTTAGAGACAGATGTTGGAGCCACATAACACGTGTCCTTTAGGGTCCTGCTAAACCGTTTCCTCAGCACACCCTATAGGCCTCTTTCCTTTAATCTTATAATTTAGAAAAAGCCCACGGTGGCACCATATTATCCAACACACAGAACTCACGATGCCCACGAGGACAACAGAGATGGATGTGCATGGGCCTGAGCACAGCCAAGGGATACAGCCATGGCCCAGTGCTCCGGGGTCCTCCCCCTGCAGGATGCGTCCCCTGCCTCAGGCCTGGCACCATTAGTCACTTGCTTTCTGTAGCAGCAGTCGGGGTTTGGGGGCCACAGTCCCAGTGCAGCATGGGGACAGTACACTACAGGGATCACCAGCCTGAGCAAGATGCATCCTCCGACATCTGTCTCTAGGTGCGCTAGACAAGGTCCCAAGCATGCAGCTGCGACCTGTCAGGCTCCCTCTCCTCCATGTCTAAGGTCAAAGTCCAGCACACTTACCTCACTGGCCACAGTGCAAATGTGCAGAGGCCAAGGTGACAGTGTGGGAATTTGGGGAGACACAACCCTGTCCACAGCCGCAGGAAAGCAGCTGCGCCCCAGCTCCGCACCCCTTGTTCACTCTGGGCCATCTCTTCTCTTGCTACGAGGTCTGCTTATCTCTTGGACCCACCTCAAACACCAGCTCCCCCATGGAGTACATGCAGGGATCTGGCCGCTCCCTGTCCAAGGCAGCAAACAGAAAGTTCTCAGGAAACTCGATTACTTTGGAGGAAAGCAAATCATCCAGCTGCAGTTTGGAAGATCCATGCCCTGGTGTGTCCGAAGGACAAGGCGGCACCATCATCTCAGCTTTAAAGCTCAACAGGAAGCCAGACTAGGTGCCTCTGTCACCTTGCACGCACGCCGGACTTCAGGAAGAGTAAACTGTTCACATAGCAGGTGTTTACTTCCAAACCACAAAGCCCTCTTCTCCCTCTCTTTTTCTTATATCCAAGATTTTTGAGGTAACGACATCCCTTTTTGCATACTTTGAGAATAAAAACCTGTCATTTGCCTGGACAGGTTTTTATTCTCAAAGAGTTAATCAATGTGGCAGGGACTTAAGTGCAGAAGATACATGCTCACCTCTCCTTGAATGCAGAGCAACTGCTACAGCATTAATTAGTCTCATCTTCATGTACTGAGATGCACAAAGCTGGCTATGATACTTCCTTCTCTCTTCAATTGGTTCTAAGCAATACAAGTAAGGCTAGCAGAAATACTGATGTGGAGTCTGGGGGGCCATTCTGACAGACTCCTGCTTCCTTAAATAGTAAAAGATCACAGCACAGTGGGATGGCAGAGCCAGCCAGCTCCAGGAATATCAACTGGGTATGAGCCTGGAAAGAAAGTGGCTATGAGTTCCCAGGACATAAAGTTTACATGTCAGAAACTGAAGCAATGAAGACAATTCAATTGCTACCTTAATTGAATTATGCAGAGTGATCCTTCTGCATGCCATTCTCCCTGAATATTGCAAAGATGCTTTTCTTCCCACCTGGCCAGCTCAGGTTACTCAAGTGGTTCCCACCATCCTCACTGTCACTCATCCTCGAGCCACACCTTTTCTACACAAGTTAATAAATTCTGGGAGAGGCCTTGGATCAGGGTGCCTGTCCACACATCCTCACATCCTCACACTGGATCAGGCTTAGAACCCCTTGGCTGCCCTTAGCTTTGAATATGTGAACCCACTCTAACTGTGGGTTGCATTGGAGGTGGAAGGTTGGAGTTAACTTGCCGAGGTTAAAATAACATCCCAACGGGATTACAAATACAGTTTTCTGGATCAGAAGATGATAGGAAAAGGGATTACAATACTTGGACTACAATATTTAAGCAGTGGAATATAGGGAATTAGGCTGTGAATGGATGCTAGGTTCTGTCACAGGAAGGATTTCCATTCCTCCCACCTCTAAGCTTTAGCTCCTAGCATTGCTTCCCTGCTGGGGGATCTGCAAAGCACAGAGGAACACTGAATCTGTGGTGCCTACACAGAACGGGGTGCAGACTGCATTTACTCAGAGTCCCCAAAGCCCCTCCGACGGCCACCGCATTGCAGCCGGTCAGTGACCCCTTCACTGCAGATCTGCTGTTGCAATCAGGAAACAAGGTCACCTCCCTTTCAGTCAGGGGGGGCGCTGCTGAAGGGAACATAGAGATTCCCACCAAAGCAGCCTTTCCTCACCCCCCTACCTGTTTTTTGTTTTTTGTTTTTTGTTTTGCCAATATCCTTTGATAAAGTCTTTTCTGCAGAAATATTACTTTAAACTGAACAGCAATTAATTTCTAATACCTGGTTCATTCCAAAGACACTGAATGTCAACAACACACAAGCCCCGTGATGGCAGGAAGCCTTCCCCCTACTTGTGTGAGTTCAGTCTACTAAGAGACGCATGGTATGAAAAATGCCCTTAATCTCAAAAGACAGGAGTCACACACAGTTCAATCCGGGTTAGTCCTGACAGAGTAGATGCACAACGCAAAAGACAAACAAGTGTCCAGCCATCACTGTAAAAATTGTCACACACACACACACAGTTGAGATCCCCGCCCCCTGCTTCGTGGAGGTGCAGGACTTCTGCTGCTTGCTGCTGGAAAGGCAGCCAAGAGGACCGGTGCAGTCCCAGAGGCGGCACTAACTACTCAGCCTCTGCAGGACCCTTTCATGCACAGCCTGACGCCATGGCCCAAAAGACATGAGCAAACAAACAGAAGAAAGTGAGCTGTTCATCACTTCTAAGAGACACAGCCTCTGTCACAGCCAGGATGGGGCTTCAACTGCTGAGCTTCTAAACCTTCAAGTGACTAAAGGTCACTCAGGAATCCTGCAAATTTGCATACTGGAATTCTGGGAACAGAGGAAGCCTGGGATTTCATACCTGGCACACACGCAAGGTGGTCATCCAGGACCTTGCATACCATCAACACTTGACTGAGAAAAAGCAAAACAAAGCAAAAGCTTCGCTCCCCAGTGACCTTACCAGGATTCCTGGTGCCTCGCCCTGGTGCCTCGCCCACTTACCAGGAGCTTGGGGCTCTCAGGGAAGCTGTTAGAAATGCTCATTCACAGGCCTCCCCTCAGCCTCCTGTGTGTGTGAGGGCCACGCAGCTAGGAATCTGTGTTTTCACAACTTTCCGGGATTCTGACTTGAGCAAGTGTTGGGAACTCTGGTTCCCGGTAGTGCTGGGGAAGGGAGTTGCTCCCCCCCACCCCAAGACCAAATCACAGCCTGTCACGGCCCTGAGACCCCCGGAACCCTCAAAGCTGCCAGATGATCTCTTGATTCCCCCAACTGAACCCTGCCTTGGAATCACACCCTTCTAGTTCAGCCAGCCCGCAGTGAGTCTGGGCCTTTCTTAATTTTTACCCGTATGTAGAGGCAGATTTAAAACTCAGTAATTCAAAAACCACTTGTAGTTAGTGGGTGGGTGGGAGGGCTGATGTTTAATAAGCAAAATCTAATGTGTGAGAAATATATATTCATTAGCCAGAAGACACTCCTGAAGACAATGAATGGATTCCATCCAGAGAAGAAAAACCAAAGGGTACAATACTCAGTGGTATGTACCCCCAACTCCTATCCAGAAGCGAAGCAAAACAAAACAGAAACCCGCAACTGGGTATGGTGGTGTATGCCTCTAATCCCAGAAATCTGGGAGGCTGAGGCAGGAGGATCACAAATTAAAGGCCAGCCTGGGCTACATAATGAGTTAAGAATCCAACCCCTGTCTCAAAAAAAAAAAAAAAGAAAAGAAAAAAAAAAGTTCAGTATCCTTATGTAATACCAAATTTGGCAATAATTTTTTTAGTTTTGAGGCTAGGTCTTCCTAAGATGCTCATTTTCTCAAGAAAGCAAGAAGATGCTTTGATCTTCTTGCCTCAGCCTCCCAGAGTGCGAGGATTACAAGTATCCGCCACCACGTCCAGGCCTGCTTTTCCTGCCTTTTTTCTTTTCTTTTTGTTTTATTTGCCCTTTCTTTTCCTTTCCTCCTTTCTTTTTCCTTCCTTCTCTTAAAATATTTTATTAGCATGTCTTTGTGATACATAATGAATATATCCACTGTAGGGTACTGGCGGATAGATAGATGCCACCAAAAAACGTGTACACACTCCAGGAAAAGGCCCCCAGCATGATGTTTTGTCTACAGACAGTGTTACCCTGGGATGGGGGACCCTAGAGGACGTCGTGTATTGCAGGAACCAGCTACACTGCGGCTGTTAGAGAGCAAGCCAAAAATGCGCCTGCAGCCATCTCCATGACCAAAGTCACCTGAGCAGAGTCTGCTTCCCTAACGAACATCTGAAAGCTCGTGGCCAGCACTGTGAGCCTCTCTTGCAGAGGCCAAGGTCATGCATATGAACCTCAGGTAGGCTCAGTAAGGTTAGTTAGGAGAGCCTTCCTGCGAGCTGTTCTGCTTCTCCTGAGGGGTCTTGTGCTGATCCCTTGACTTCCCCTGCCTGCTCTTCTTCCATGTCCACCCTTCCCCACTCCCCTATAAATTCAAAAGCACTGGGCATTTGCAGGACTATAAAAGCACCCTCCAATGTCCGTCTTCAGTGACACTTTACAGCTTTACGTCTAAGTTCTGTGGATGCTGCTCACTGCTCCAGAGCCTCAGAGGGCAACGGACAGTGCGGTGGGGCCTGAGGGGGTGGGCGGTACCTGGCCAGGAAGTCGGAGAAGGCGAGGCGGATGGGGTACCCATAGTGGAAGACCTTCACCAGCTCCAGCACCCCGAGGTACTGCAGCTGTGCCGACACGTAGAAGTGGTCGAAGGCGTCCGGCAGCTGCGAGTTGTTGGGCTTGATGCAGAGCACGAAGTGGGGCAGAGCCCGCTGCAGCCTCCTGTTGAGGTCCGCCAGGGACTTCTGTGGATGGGGAGAGAGAAGCCCTGCCCTCAGGGACCGGGTCACGCTGTCCAACTGTGGGGCAGGCAGGGGTTCAGCGGGGGTATGGGGGTACAGGGCTCCCGTGCTGGGTAGGTGTGGACTTTTCCCGGGGTGCCCAAGTCTGTAAGATGGGGTGGGTTCTGCGAAACCCTCCTCTATGCGCACGGGAACACACTCAGGTTGGGAATCTGAAAGCATTGCTCACCCTGAGCTGAGATGCAACAGTCCCTGGGTCACCCCGTTCCAGTCTTTGAAGAAAGCTAGAAGTTCCTTTCTTTTTTAGTAACTGAGGAGAGACAGAGAGAGAGAAGGTGGGGGGGGGTGAATATCTATTTTACTAAATTCCAGTTAAGAAGGGAAAAAATAGCAACCTAAGCCTGAGTCCTCATGTTATAGCAGTCCTCAGTTCACGAACCGGATTCTTTCCACAGTTCTGTTCGTGAACCGAGTTGCATGAGAAGTGAACCAAATTGAGTGGTGAGTTGCAGTCTTGACCTTGGGAGTGAATGTGATTCAGTTCTCCTCTGGTTCAGTTCACAACCAGTCACAGATAGAGAACTGCGTTCGTGAGCAGAGGCGGCCCTGAAACTTGCCAGCAGGGCGGTGCAGTGAACTATAAAACCCAGGACTGAAGGGCCTCAGAATCACTGCTGTATGCGGAGAAACAGGGACAGAAGGATGTTATCTGACGTCACAGCTTCGGTATTTTAACCGCGGACACTTGTTCCCTTAAATGCACTGCAGGGAGTGCTGTGTAGTTGCATGGGTTTGCTTACCCATTTTTCCCTCCTCTGTTGCTTTTCTTCTGTTTGTAAGTGCTACACTAGTTTGGTAAGTTACTTGTCTATGAAAATGACAATAGACTGGTTTCTTCAATGAGTAATTATTCATAGCTCTTAAAAGAAAAAAAGTTAGAAGTAGCGAAGATTAAACAATGATGGAGATTTTAAAAATCAGCGGAAATGGGGCGAACGGGCCAAGAAAGGCAGAGGTAATTAATCAAATTCCGCCGGGGGCGCAGAGAAACCTCAGTTACTAATGCACTGTTACTCCCGCTGCCCCCTAAAATGGGCAGACTTGGCTGAACATCAATTGATCTGAAATCATCATTTCTCTTAAAATAGAAAGATGTGAGGAAAAATCCGAAGGAGCAGTCTGGTCAATTTGGGGCTATCGCCATGCCAGTTTCCTTCCAGGAAGATGAGCTCCAGAGCCAGAGCAATCACTCGCCAGAGCCCAGAGGGGTCAGAGGCAGCCAGGGCTTGTGATCAGCCTGCTTCCTGTAAGTGCAGCCCGAAGAGCAAGGCTCAGTGAAAGAACCATAAAAGTCTGCTTTTCTCGCCTCAGTGAATGGGTGTGGGAAGGAGGGAGGGCCAGGACCAGGGCTGTCGAAGGGAAGAAACAAGGGCATGAGGAATGGAACACTTACGGAGGAATCATAATAAATAAATCTCCACCCCTGAAACTGAACACTCAATTTCCCTTCTGAGCGGAGGAACGGCTGTGAATTATCTCCCCTTTGCGGTCCTTTGGGGAAAAGACTAATGGCATCCCGGCCTCAGGATGTTTAATAATTGAGGTTAAAAATTACAGTTTCGAGGTACACCCAGACTTCTGGCTCTTGATCTGCAGGGTGATTGAGAAAGGCCAGGAAAGGCCAGGAAGTGCAGGAGACCTTAGGGAGCCTCCTAACTGAGCCCCCTCTGTTTATGTGAGAGAGGTGGCTCCCCAGGGGATGCCTGTCTTGCTGTGACCATCCACTTCTGAAAGAACACATCAAAGACTCCCCAATTCCAGGGCTGGGGGTGAAGACACACTCACATACTCTCTGACACACACTGTACACCCCTGCACTCTTCTAAAAGATAATTTTAATTATGCTTTTATTTTAATTGAAAAGCTAAGGTACAGTCCAGCAAGCTGCTGGAGCCATCGAATTCCTAAAATTGATTGTCCTAAGCACCTTGCCAGCTCTAATTCTGCAGTTTTGGTTGACATAAGCAAAAGAATAATAAAATAAAATAAAAGCTCCAATGTAACCTGCAACCTGGCCCCAGCTTCTTAAGAAACCTAAAAGCCTTCATGTATGTCACCTGATTGCTTTGAAATAACTCTTTCCTGTATCTGTAGTTCTCGTTTATTTTTTATTTTTCATTTTTAAATAGTTCTCTTTTAGAAGTAGAATTGTTAGCTTATGTGCATGTTCAAACTTAGGTGGGACAAATATATTTTTAAAAACTCAGTACAACATGAAAATATGGAAAAAGTCTACAAATACATATTGCAAATGCTGAGGCACTTGAAAAATAGGCTCTGTCTATCAAAAAACAACGATTTATTGTGCAGAGACCCCAAACCTCAGAAATGATTAATATCAGCAGGATAAGGCAGCTAAGTTTATTTCCTCTAAGCCTCTGGCCCCAAGTTTCTCTCCATTCATCAAAAAGACAATCACGGAGAAGAGACACAGACAGGATGTCACACAGACGCCAGCAAAGCCACTGCCATGGTGCTGGCTGTGGCATCTCTGCCCAAGAGCCCAGTCCTGGACTCTCGCCTTCCGGGGCCACGTGGAGTGGAGGGGAGCCTTTGCTTTAGCTAAGACTATTACTGCCACTGGTACTCAAAATTGTGCATTTTGTGTTTAAAAAGAGAAGAGTGCCCACGCTCCCACCTTACTGAGCTCGGGATAATTCCGGTGCTCCCGGCTGACTGGGGAGGCTGTCGCTCTCTTGCTCAGCAAGGTTGCCCTATGTCCTCGGAGTTTACAGGGAGGGTAGGACGATATCAGGGATCCTGTTTGTGACAACTTGGACTGGAACAAATGATTGATCACGACGTTTTCACTAGCTAGGAGAGAAGAGAGGAGCGTGGTCAGAGGTGTGGACGTGGACAGGAATGCAGTCCAGCTGGAAGCCCCTGGATAGAGATGCAGTCGGCCAGCAGTAAGGAGCAGGCCTCCCCACCATCCTGCTCATGTCCCACACCTTCCACACAGCTGGAGGGTCTGACCTTTATCTGCCCTTGGCCAGCCATCCTGACCCCAGCCTCTGTCCCTGAACTCCTGGGCTTCAGTCTCCCGACAGCAGGCACCTAATCTTCCTGCTCAGACACAGTGGGCTTTTCTGCACTGGCTGAGTCACAGCGACTTAGGGGTTTTGTGGGCTACTTCTCATTCCAGGAAATCACCACCCAGCAAGGCCATCTCCAGAATCCAGGCCCAGTCTGCCTAGAGCGGTAAACACCCACAGGAGGCCCTGCTTCTTCGACTGCTCCAGGTGTTTGGATAAAAAGAGGAGAAATTATTCCTTTTATGACCCGGGTAAGCCACAAAGGTAAAGCAAGCTGGCACACTTTGGGTACTACGTTATGGAAATCTAATGGTTCTGGGACTAGATTCCCTTAACCTCTCAGGGAAAAACCAAGGCCTGGCTGGCTGGGTTCTGGATTAGAAATCCGAGTAGCACAGTGAAAACAAATTGAGGGACAGTGTATGAAACAACTGGTTTTTAATTTTAAACAAAAAGTTTTGCAGTAGTGAAAACCAAAGGAAGTCTGGGGAATGGTCCAAAATGAAAGACATTCATAAAAAGATGGTAATTGAAAGAAATGATCCTGAACTGCTGGCAATCACCGTAGAAACATTAATGGGGTACCTGCTGAAGTTTTATGTGAGCACTGTGTCAGATAGGAGGTCTGATCAAAACATGCCATGAACACATAAATTAAAAACTTTATTGCAGTAAAATCCATACTCGCACACATCCTCCTCAGAATATACTTGCTTGCTCTGGACACAGGTATCCCGGGTTCCTGGCTCTTCCTGAAGCACAGGGAGCAGCCATCTTTCCGAGTGTCTTTGAAAGGCGTGATCAAAAATTTGGTGAATGTCGCCAAGGGCCATCCAGCAGAAAAGCAAGCTTGTGAAAACATTACCCTGTGTCCTGAGCCTTCTTATTCGCCTAGCACTGGGTGACTTCTGGGTCCTCCCAAGGTCAAAATGATCAGGAAAGGACAACATTTTAAAATCATTCAGGTCATTGGGATAGCCAGGAGAACACAACAAAAGACACTCAGGAAAGAGGACTCCAGAGCTGCTACAGGAAGCGGCAAGGGTGACGGGCTGAGTGTGTGCAGAGTGCGGGGAGGGTTTGATGGAGATTAGTATCAGTGTGCCTTTCACTATAAAAGGTTTTTAAACCATTACTGCATTTTGTATTATACCTAGTATTAGTCTTATTTTAGAGATCACCATCTGATACCTTCCTAGTTATATAAGATAATGTCCTCACCATGCATCAAAGCATCTGGACATTGAGAGACAGGTGACCTGTTCCAAATGGTTCAGGAAGTGTCCACACACAGAGGGGAAAGAGGGAGGAGGAAAGACGGAGAGGAGAGTGAAACGACGGTGATGGAAAACGAATCTGGGGAAAATGCACGATTTTGTAACTGTTCTTTAAGTTTGAAAGCACTTCAATGCAAACAGTTAACCGACAAGCATATCCCACCACACATTTAAATAAAAAGAGTTAAATACTCAACATTTATGTCTTTAACAAGTTGGGATATGAAATGGGCGCACAGATACATAATGCAACATGTTGTTCTTCCGAGGAAAATGTCCTTTAATGAAACAAAAAGCTCTAGACATAAACAGTGTATGGACCAAAAACAGAAAGCTGACCAGCTTCTGGTGCTCCCCATGAGTCACAAGGCAGCCTGCATGCAGAGGTCGCTGGACCCGCTCAGCCTATCCCCACTGAGCCCCATCCACATCTAAGGTAACAGCAGGAGACAGCAGGTACCCTATGGCACAGAAAGAGGAATTCTGCTGTCCTGCTCAGCCCCTGGTAGGGAATCCTCCTAAGGGGAAGTGTTAGCCTCTCATTCTATCAGAAGGAGTCCCTGAGACCATTTTGCTCCTGGGTACACCCTGCAGGGGAAGGTGGCCCCTGTGACACCTTGGTCATGCAGAGACCTTTCCACTTTACAAGTTATGTTTTGTGTCCGCCAGTTACAATCAGGCATGCAGAGACATAGCACAAAGACTCAGAAATTGGTCACATTATTGGCAGTGAGGACACATTTCCCTGTTCTCATGAGCAGATGGAAACTGTACGCAGGCTTTTTCTTCTTTCTGGGTCAAGTAGTCTTTACTCTCATGTACAACGGGGTGCCCTGGCTGCAGCCTCCATGGCCTTGTCTCCCAGACACCTGATGTCACCTGGCGATGTGTCCCTCCCTGGAGGGACCCTACACCAGCCCCTCTTTCCTCCTCAGCCAGACTTTGGGATGGTATGAAGATTGAACTGCACAAGGTAAGAAAAGCACTTAGCAAAGTGCTTAGGGGCAGACTTCATGTTATTTATCAGCTCTACCATGGGTAGTGACTTCCTGTGGCATTGAAACATTCCCCAGATTCATAACGTACTGTCGTGACCTGGCATCTTTTCTCATAGGATAGAGTGGATGAGCAGTTCTAGCCTGTGGGCTGAATACAGCCTTTGATAGATGGGTGTGAAACACAGCGGGGTTCACTTGTATTATGCAGCATTGTTTTCACATTATAACAGCACAGGAGATCCCTTCTATATAGGACAGAGGCTAAATCGTTTATTCTAACACACATCTGTGTGCACGCATGTTATGTTTCCAGGAAACACAAACCTGCAGAAGTGCCCATCCACAGGATGCCCCGTACTTGATCTTTGCAAAAGATAAGATTCAAAGAAATGATGCATGAAAGATGAACTTGAAAAACCCGTGAACTGGAAGGAAGATCCTCTGTCTGATACCGACAGACAGGAGCTCTTCAGGACACATTCCAGATCTTCACGTCTTCATGCCATCCCCCTCCCACTGTCAGCAGTGGTCTCAGCTCCACAGAGTCGCAGGGACCACATGTTTAGAGAGGCACACAGGGCATAGCCGTGAGGAATAGTGGGTTCCAGCCGAGCTGCCAGATTCAGCCACCATGTTCACCTCCAGCTCAGGGGGGCTGCCGCTGCTTGGCTCCAGCCCAGGCACCCCAACTGCCTCCCAGCCGCCGTCAGATGCTTCTGCTTGCAGCTCAGAAGGAGGCCCTGGCTCACCTACAGTGACTACAGAACGGAAGACTGGGTTCTCTGCTGCAGTGCAGAGCTTACCCGGAAGACCTGAGCTGGTGCAGAGCTGCTAGTAAGAAACTAATTACTGCAAGAGATAGAATTTTATGTCTGTGTACATATATTTATAGTATCTGTAAATTTAGTATATAGTTTCATATATAGTGTAAAATTATAGCCAATATATAAAGTATTAATCCCCACTAAGCAGGAGCTGATATATATATATATATATATATATATATATATATATATATATATAATACCTATATGTATGTACACATGCATATAAATTTCTTGGTTCCTTTGCTTTAGTGGACATTAATACTTTATAACAAAGGTGCATAAGAATAAAATACTGTCCCTAGCTGTGCTCTGGAGTCATCTTAAGTAATGAAATTCACCCTTCCGTGGCCTAAATAACTTTGGAAACCATATTCATCTTCATTAGTCTTCACAGAAAAGCTTTTTATATTCATACCACTAAAGCAGGAAAGGTATTTTACATTCTGCTAAAAGCTTAGTTAAATTATGGTTTCTTCTGGACTGAATGAAATGGTAATGAATGTACAGTGTGGCAAGACCCATTCCTTATTATTCTGGGCGTCAGAACGTAAAAGATATTCCAATCACCCTTTAGCTGAAGCATATTTTATAGGAAAATATTCAGAGGTAGAGGAATAAAGGAAGGGTGACATTTAAACCAGGGTAGGGGAAATTAACTTACTTTTCATTACAAATAGAAGATTCTGTGAAAGGGAGTCTTTATTTTTTTCAATGGCTCCAGTAATTTCGTACATTACCTATAATAAGAGAAAATAGCACGATTACTAAGGAGTAATAATCACCGTGAAGATGCATCCCTTTATCAAGGGACTTCGGTGACTCACTAGGTGCTTCAGGAACCTGAGCTCACGCTGCACCCAAGCCAGGCCTCCTCCATGTCTGCTCCCTGCTCATTCTGTTCCTGACGCCTGCGTTTAGAGACGCAGAGCCGTGGCACCTGTCTGTGGAGTTCCCTGTATTCCTGCAGACCCAAACTCACCCGGAAGATCACTGACCCAAGCTGCAGGACCTGCCGCCTGGTGTAAGGGGTACGGTGGGCTTCCCTTTGAGAAGCCCCGTGGATCCCTGGCGAACAGGGTTTTGATAGATCCTTTCACAGCTGCCTATCCCAAAGTCTTTATCATAAAACACAGGGAACAGTGGATTCTGAGTCACTTATGGGATGCTCTCATCATCGGAGTTCACACTCGAATACACTTACACTTGAAAGTGACTTCAGTGCTGCTTTTCCTGGGTCCAGCATGGGCCAGGATGGGATCTTTGGGACAGACACAGTTCTGTTCCTTTTCTGTCTCACTGGAAACCCCCAAACAGTTTATGCAATGCCAGACCAGACCAGTGCCTATCAAAAAGTCCTTCCCACCCCAACATCTGTTTCTTGCAGAAATACCTTGGGTCACAGCGCCCTAGTCAGTGTCCCAGATAGCTGTTTTTAGCCTTGAGTGGGACAGTTGAACAGTGACACCTCGTCCCCTGGGGATGACCAGAAAGCCTGGATAGAGCCAGAAGATCGGCTGAGGATCGGCTGATCAGACCCCGAGGTAAGCACATGTGACATCACACATTATCTACTCAGTGCTGAATACCCACAGCTCTTACATGACCTAAAGGGACACTCTCAAAGGGAGTGACACTGCCCTCCCAGGGGATCTTCCCAGTGTCTAGAGATGCTCTCGTCACAACTGAGGGGGATAGTGCACTGGAGAGAGATGCCACTGAACATCCTATAGCACCCTGCACCACTCCCACTATGAGGACTTATTCAACTCCAAATGTCCATTGGGCTGAGATGAGAGGTCCTGACTTAGGGATTCAGTTTCTCTATGCCTTCTGTGTTAGGGACCACAGTGCTGTGGACCCCTGTAGGAAAGGTCCACACACCTTCATGACACCCTCTGCATCCTGGTGGAATCTGGCCAGCTACTTAGTGTCCCATTTCATTTCTTTAATTGATAGGGTGGGGTGCATGTGATATCCCTGGTACAGTGTGATGCCACCTACACGAACATTCTTTGTGGACTAAAGGAATTATTGCAAATGCCAGGTGTTCCACGTAGAGTCCTACAATCCTATTCCGTCACCCACCAAGCCCACGTGGCTTTGGGAGTTAATTCCTCCAACTCACTTCTGCAAAGATCAGTAGGAGGTGAATGCAGTTTCTGTGAAGGCTTTGCAGTATGCCAGGGATGACCACCCACTACTGTGAGAACCAGGTATTCACTTTGGTGTCATCCTTGTACCCCCAAATGCCACTTTGGTGGTATTAAGGAAGAGACAGTGTCTGCCAAAGACCTTGGCAAAATCCCTCCAGGTACTTCCTGTTCCAGGATGCTGATGGTTCTGAAGCTCCAGCCCAGGGGTGTTCCCAGCTCTGACCCTCATCCCCCGCGGTCCATGCTGCCCTCTCCCTCTCGGCCAGAACCTGCCCTTCATTCCCCTAGATCTCCTCTTCCTTGGTGACGTTGCACCTCTAAGATCACCGTCCTGTCCGGCCTGCTTTCAGACCCCTATATGACCTGAACTGCAAGGCCAGGCAGGCAGCCGGGGCACCAGCATGCATTTCCCTCCTGCTGTCTGAACAGAGCGTCCCCACACTGGACCAAAGGCAGGGCCAGCCTCTAGGTCCAGGTGGAGGGCAGAACCCTCTAGATCTGCCCCAGGGTCATGCTGAGGTCTGGTACCTGGCTGTCACACATTCTGGTTTCCCACCAAGGACACTGCATCACAATGTCCCAGGCACTGAGGATATGCTCGCCCCTTTTCAGCTTCCAGCCTCAGACCTGCTCACTCTTAGGAGATAAGCCCACTTCCCATGTTAGGCAAAAAAGCGAGACCCTCTGATGCAAGTCCTTCCTCCTTCCCAGACTACTCTCCTGGTCACTGATGCCCGTTCACTAGGTGGGACCTTGGGTGCCACCTAGGAGAGTTCCCAACCTCGCCCCGTCCATGTCACTTTTTGTATTCTCTGTCTTCACACCATCAAAAACCAGCACTGATAGGCAAATCACCCAGAGGGCCCAGCACTGCCTTCCACCTTGTGTCTTCACCCTGGGTGCAGTGCAGTCCACACAGCTGGAACATGCGGACACGATAGGGTCCTGTTTCCTGCTCAGAACCCCTGGCTCCGTCTCACCAGGGCCCCTCGGCGTGATTCCAATCTCATTCTCACCTGTTCCCGGCACAGGACTCTGATGGCACCAAAGGAACACATGCACACACCTAGCTGGGCTACCTGGTCTCTCTGGCACAGTCCTTGCTGCCACCAGCTCACCCTCCTGCAGCCTTCCCAGCTCCCTGTGCGTGCACTTCCGGGTGGTGACTGTGTGTCACTCGGCTCCATCTCTGCAGTGACAAACTGAGTACCTCGCTCCCTGGGCACGTTCAGTATGTATTTGCTGAAATGGTCACTGCATTTTGTTGTTTTATGACCAAAAAAATACAGCATGCCATTGTACAGGCTTTTCAAACTTAAAATTATGCTACGAGTTCCTCATTATGATGGGGCGTGGGTTCTGGAGATTTCTCATGCTTGATTCACACACCTAAGGCAAAGCGCAGGGTCTCTCACTAAAACTGAAGTTCACAGCCACCCAGGGGGAGACTTTAACTGCTAGACTGACTCAAACAGTATTTAAGGCGCGTAGACAAATGCTGAGCATGAGGGCAGCTCAGTGTTTGTAGGACGTCTTGTACAGCAAAACGTACTTTTATCGCTGGGCACTGGCCTATGAATGAATCGTGAAGCAGGTGAACTGGAAGGCTCCTGATCCCAGGTAAACTGTGTGCCAAGGGCCCTGCACATGTCACATGGTGCCCTCTTGGATTTGCCCACTGGGAAAGTCTCCTACTCATAAGAAACGGAAGACATAGTGTTGTCAGTGCTGAACTGACAGCTGGCAGTGCGGGAGAGTGATCACTATCCGCAGAGCAATGCGAAGGGCTGAGAATGCACTGCATGCAGTGCATTCCTAACCTGCAGCTTCAGATACAAGCTGTGTTTCAAATCTGAGACGATGAGCTTTGTCCAGCGGCCTGGCTCATCTTACAGGAAAAATGACGCTAGCGCCCCTCGTGGGCACAGTGGGACACACAGCAGCGCACCTCCACCGCAGTGCCTTTGCAGGGGACAGAGCTGAGAACAGTCACCTGAGCACACGCACACACATACACATGCCAGTGTGCACACACCATCCACACTTTTTCACTATTTAAAGGAAAAATACGACTGTATTCTAAATTTGATCTTTTAACCACAGTATTGGCCTTGATGTAGGAATTTAAAAATCTGGACAACTGATGCCAAGTTACCCTCTTACAACACATACATAAATTACATACATGCATATTTTGGTACTGGGAATCGAACTCAAGGCCTTGCGTTTGCTAGGACAACATACTCTTATCACCTTTAAATATTTCAAATTGAACCGTCAACTTGGAGATCACTTTAGATTCACCAGAAGCTGCAAGAAACAATACAGAAAGATCATGAGTACCTGTAGTGAATTTCCTTCAATGCTAGCATACTACAAAATAATCACCACTGCGATATCAATCAGTGCAGGGAAATAAGGAATTATTAACATCAGCAGATGGGTCCTGCGTGCTGCCAATGTGGGGACATGTTCATTCCTCCCAAAACTGGTGCCTGTTAATGTCACTCTATTTCTGGGTCCTTTCTTCTCTGCTGGTCTCTGTGTCTGCCCCTCACACAGTCTGGAGTACCATTACTCTGTGATGTGATGCAGACTCCGCAGGTTAATTCCCCCTGCCATATGCTTGGTAAGAATCATTTTGTCGACCTCAGCATCTTTGCCTACCTTGTGCATTTTAGAACAGTATTTCTCATCCCCTACACCCATAAAACAATTTGCCGTGATGGTGATGGGACTGCTCTAACGCACATGTTACCCTGGGAAGAATGGACTATTGCTGCGTGGGTTATTCCTAAGCTGTGGCTTCCTGTGTGGTCTCCTCCTCCTGGACATATGCCGTGGTGCTCCTTTTCTGTGGTGGCTTTCATCAGAATTTTGCAGTCTTCAGCATACACCTTCTTTACATGTTTTGCTAGATATATACCTAACTAATGCATCATTTTTTTGTAAGTGTAAATGCTATTGTATTTTTGGTTTCAGCATATACAGAAACTCACTGGATTTGTTAATGCTCATCTTGTATCTTGTGACTCTGCTGAATTCGCTGATCACTTCTGCAAGTGTCTTTCCTTTTGGTGGATTCCTAGGGGTTTTGCAAACTGACATTTATGGCCCAAGCAAGCAGGCTCACGTTCATTTCTCCCTTCGCAATCTCTTGGCTTTTTCTTTCCCTTTTGGCCTTGCTACTTTTGCTGGAACTTCCAGCACTATGCTGGCTGATGGGGCAAACATTCCGCCCTTGCTTTTGACTACAGGAGTTCAGTTTTCAGCATTAAAAATAGCATCAGCAGTAGGACTGCCAAAGGTGTTCCTTATCTAGGCTATACTGTCCCTCCATTTCTTTGTACCAGTGGATATTTAAATATTTTTATCCAATCTTTTTTTGGTACCCATAGGATGGTGTAGTTTTTCTTCACTAGGCTGTTACTACTGATGGATTACCTTTGATTGATTTTCAAATACTGAATTGGCTTCGCTCTCTGGAAAAAATCCCTATTGGCCATAGTGGGTAATATTTTTCATATATTGCTGAATTCTCTATATTCATGAGTGATTTTCATCTTTAGTTGTCTTTTGGGTGC